ATACTTTCGGGTATTATTATTATTGTTATTATTATCATCAATTATTAGTAATTATTAAGATGCATTTATATATATGGTTATATTAACACGGTTGGCACAATGCACAAAATATTCTATAAAATGTAACTTTTATTATACTCATTTTATTTTAACACTTTTTTAGACAAAGAAGAAAAAGATTTTTTTTAAATATAGATTTTGACTGCCTAAACCCAAATCTTCAGTTTTTTATGATCTCTAGGTTTAAAAACATAACATAATAAATTTTTAAAATATCTTTAAAAGTGGATGATATTGAAAAAATTTATAAGTTTTTGTCTCAAAGAATATATATGCTTAAAATTTTTTTTATTTTGTCAAGAGCTTATTTAAGTATTTTTGTTTTGTATTACATCATTTTGTAAATAAACCCTTAATGGATCTTATCCTCAGCTTTTTATTTGTTGAGTAATTTGGTTAACTCTTATTTTATTATTGGTGTGATGGTGGTTAACAATAGTTTTATGTTTTTTAGTTAAAATATATTTTTGAAACCTGATGATATTTTATACTAATATTAGTCTTAAGGTTTTGCAGTTAAGTTTTGAGTCTTTTATGTATTTTAGTATGAGATAAATGAATGCTTTATTTCAAATCCAGAGGAATTGAAATGGTTTATTTCAATTCCTCTGGAATTGAAATAAGAATGATTTTATACTTTTAAAGATTTTTCTTGGTTCATGTATAGTTTAGTTGTTAATGGTATGCAAAAATGGTATGAGATATCTTCTGAACATATTTTCAAAAGATTTTTGATTTCGTTTCACATCAGAAGAATTCACATCACGAGATTTTGATGTCTCGCTTAGGCCTGTATACGTACATATATAAATTTATATGTACATATTTATATAGATCTGAGGCCATACTGATTTAGGCAGCTGTGAGGGCTTCAATATATACATTGACTTATATGAGTAGAACATGCAAGGAAGTTGCTGCCACATCAACTGAAGGTTTGGGTTGAGGCAACAATAAGTTTTTACATGTGTTTTTTTCTTCTTTTTGCCAAATAACTGTATGGGTTTAGGTCAAGAAAAAATTCAAAATCAAACGTTGTATATATATATGCAGTAGTGTATATAAATATAATATTATTACTTATTATTAATGTATTTAATTCTAATGTCATATAAATACGCACAAGTTCCATAGATAAAATTAAAAAAAGAGTATATAAAACATACAGATACAGCCACCCACAACAACCCATCACTTGGACAGTCTTAATATTTTGCTATCCAAACAAACAGTGAGATTTATTTTGCATACTCGACAAGCTGTTTCTTTATATTGATCCTACAGTTTGACAAAATATTTCATATCCAAAAAAATTTTTGCTTATTTTTTAAAGCAATGTCATAGGCATGATAATATTCTGGTGTTAAAGAGATCCCAAAGTGCCAAGGCAAGTTGTGTTATCATTAAAGAGAATGTTTAAATTAATGTTTGAATTTTTTAATTAAAACAAAACAATAAACATATACCAAGAAAAACTTTCTTTTTGTAGTTTTATGTGTAATATATATATATATGTATATATATATATATATATATATATATATATATATATATATATATATATATATATATATATATATTATATATATATATATATATATATATGAATGTGTTGTGTGTTATATGTAATGTTATTAAATTTTTATTATCCTATCAAGATTATGTTTAAAAAAATGTTCTTGAAATTCATATTTAGTCATACAAGAATATATTTAATGGAATTTATTTTGTAAAACATGTATTGATTATTTTGTTTTTAAAATTGAATGATTGTTGCTTAATAACACAAAAAAAGTGGAGCATTATCAAGTCAATTTTAAAATTGATATTTTTTAATAGAAAACTTGTTATTGTCAATTTTGGTAGTTTTTTGATTTGTAATGTTAAGAGACAGAGTTTAATGTAAAATTGCCAAATATGACATATGAATTGGGAAATACCAAATATAATGTTTAAGATTTTAAATTGCTATTTCTCTTGAATTATTGCTATAAAAAATTATTTATTGCTTTAATTAATAATAATAAAAAAAATTGTCTGTAATTTTGTTAAGTGTAAATTAAATAAAAAGGACACTAAAAATATACTTCACAATTTTAATTTGATGTTTATAAAATATTAAATAATAGATAATAAATAGTAGTTATAATCGAAACTTATAATGACAATTTGTGGAGTTATTGGTTGCTCTAGTAATGACAAATCTGGTTCTCACATATCATTTCATAGACTACCTTCGGATCCAACTACAGCAGATTTATGGAAAAAGGCTATTGGATTATATAATATCTCCAAAAACACTAAAATATGTTCCCTACATTTTAATTCTTCTTGTTTTGACAAGTCGAAAGAACAAGTAGTTACACCAACTTCGAAAAGAAGATTTCTTTTTCCAAAATCAGTGCCTACTTTATTTCTTGGAAGAAATAATTTGGCTAAG